AGCAAAACCATCCCAGATCATTAGGACCTTCAATACGAGGAGACTGAACTTCCCCAAGAGCAGGGGGGAGTGTGTGATACATGGACAGAGCTAAAATTCTCTCCCCCAGCACTGACTCCTATCAAATGTTCATAATGTAAATGCAGTTGATTGCCACCTAACTTCCAGCCTTCCTGTTGGTGGCATCACATGGAAAGCATGAGCATGAGCACTCTGGTGTTTTTACCTTTGCCAGCTGGAGGTGGATCAGTGTCCCCTAGGCCTTCTGCTTCTTAAATCCAAGCCAGTTCCCAAAGTGCTCCAAGGAAGCCATTCTTATACTGCTGTCTTCCTGGAGGGAACGGATCTGGATGAGACCTGAAAGACTGTGGCGAGTCCTTTGCATTTACAGACTAATTCCTCCCCATTGCTGGAACTGTAACAGTTTGTGAATAGGCTTTCATCTGCCACACTCTGAATTTGGAATTCTTCATTTTCAGAGATTCATCTAACCCATTCTCTGGATGTTTGGAACAGGGCTGGAATCAGATAGGGTTTCTTTGGGAGTGAGTGAGCATTTTTATAGCATTAGCCATACAGTTTACTGTAAGTCATTATGGGATGCTGACATCAAAGTGCTATATGGCTACTATTTGCCTTTGAATTTTACAGTTGCAACCATTAACAGTAATAGCAACCAAACAGTGTTTTATTCTGTGCATACCCTCTTATATAAAGCCAGAGAGCCTGAAGGTTGTACCATCTCTCCCCTCCCCATAGCAGGGATTTCACCTCCTCTGCTGGAGAAGTCGACTGTCTTCTTAATATCATAGTGACATGGACTTTTAATGGGCAGTTTATACTAGTGAGAGACCTAAGCATACTGGTGAAATCCCCAGGCTCCTGCCCCATTCTGTATTTGCATCAAAGAAGGTTCAGGCTAGCAGGATTATCTGCATGGAGGCAGATTTCTTGATTATCTTCAGCTGCGGCAGAAGCTTTGCTAGGCTTGTCAGTGCCATTAGGAGAATCACGGAGTCTTATGCCTCATACAGGCAGTTCACAAAGATCTCCAGGATCTTGTCTGTGCGCTTTGACCTGAAGCCAACAAGAGATGCAAAACTGTTCTGTTAGCTGGTCCCTGTGGACTTTTTGTGTGTAGGTAAGCATGGTTACAGTAATGAAAATAAAGAGTAACAAGCAACATGGTTGTATTAGGATTGAAATTTGAGAGTTTTTTTTCCCACATTATCATCTAGGAATGGAAGTACAAAAGGGGAATTGGGGCATTTCCTGCCTCGAGATCCATGGCTGAAGTCGTATCCCTTTCCTCCCACAGGAGGCAATAAAGAAAAAAAAGACTGAAGGGGGACCTGATAAGTCTTTAGAGGTGTTAAGGGCTGTTATAAAGATGAGTTAGTCAATTGTTCTCCATGTCCACTGAAGGTAGGATAAGACGTAATGGGCTTAATCTGCTGCAAGAGAGATTTAGGTTAATTATTAGGAAAACTTTCTAACTATAAGGATGGTGAGGTTCTGGAATAAGCTGCAAAGGGAGGTTATGGAATCCTCTTCACTGGAGGTTTTTAAGAACAGGTTAGACAAACAGCTGTCAGGGATGGTCTAGGTTTACTTGGTCCTGCCTCAGTACAGGGGGCTGGACTTGATGACTTCTCATGGTCCCTTCCAGCCCTACATTTCTATGACTCTATGAAATAGTAACCTGTTGCATGATCTCAATGGAAAAGGGGAATATAGTCTAAGAATATTATAATGTAGTGTAAGGGCAGAGAGACAACTCCCAGTGATGCCTGCCTGGTCCCAACAGGAGTGGGCTTCCTGTCAGAATCCAGTTGTCCACCACTTACTGCATGAACTTGCTAATTGTTCCTCATTAAATTGTTCCACAGAAAGCCAGGCTGGGGGGACCATCCAGTGTGAAAGGTGTCTGCTGGTGGAATCTCTTAGGAAGCAAGTAGAACTACAGGAGGAGGTGGCTAGGCTGAGGAGCATCCAGGCACATTAGGAATTCATTGAGAGTATTCATATGGAGACCTCCAAGGCTGAGGAAGCTATCCAGCTAGAGAGTATTTCTTTCTCACCACCGGGGAAGGAGGATATGGTTCTGTCACAGGGAGGTTACTTATGGCAGCAGGCCGTGCTCCACCCCTGCTCCCAACCCACCGACCATCATGATAAAGAACAGTTATGCTGCCCTGTCAATGAGCGATGAGGAATTGTCCCCGAAGGTGGGGGAGGAGAAGCCATGTACCTCCAAGGTTGGGGGATCGCAGCCACCACTCCCAGAAGGAAACATAGGTGAGTTGTGGTTGGTGACTCTCTTCTGACATCTGTCAGCCTGACATGGCATCCCAGGAGGTATGCTGCCTGCCAGGAGCCCATATCTGAGATATTGTGGAGGGACCGTTGAAGATCATTCAAGCCTCTAAATACTCCCCAGGCTGCTCATCCATGTGGCACTAATGATACTGTGAGGTGTGAACCTGAGCAGATCAGAAGTGACTACAAGGCTCTGGGAATAAGGGTGAAGGAACTGGGGGCACAGGTGGTGTTCTCTTTGATCCTTCCAGTCAAGGGTAAGGGACCAGGCAGAGACAGATGCAGCCTGGCTGCAAGGATGGTGCCACCAGGAGGGCTTCGGCTTCCTTGACCACGGGATGCTGTTTCGGGAAGAAGGACAGCTCAGCAGAGATGGGCTCCACCTATCGAGGAAAGGGAAGAGCATCTTTGGATATAGACTGGCTAACCTAGTGATCAGGGCTTTAAACTAGGTTTGACGTGGGGAAGGAGACAAAAGCCCACAAAGGAGACAAAAGTCAAAGAAACATGGAGACCTGGGAGACGAGTCAGAATCTGGGGGGAGCATGGGCTTTTATAGCAGGGATAAGGGAGAGACAAGAGAGAACACAGAGTGAAAATCAAATCAGTATCGTAGATGTCTGTATACTAATGTGAGAAGTTTGGGGAATAAGCAGGAAGAACTAGAAATGCTAGTTAATAAACACAACTATGACATAGTTGGCATAACAGAAACTTGGTAGGATACTCACATGACTGCATTATTGGTATAGAAGGGTTCAGCTTGCTAAGGGAGGACAGGCAGGGGGAAAAGGGAGGAGGTGTACACTCGGAATGAGGTTGAGATGGCAATAGGAGACAGACTCTGTGCCTCAGCTCCCCATGTATAAAGTGGTGATATCACCTCACCTCGGTTGGGTGTTGTGAAAATAAACCCATTAGTGCTTGTAACAAACTACATATTACAATGACAGCACCATAGAAAAATCTATAAGGAAAGTAATTCTGCATTTGTTGTGGGGTTTGGATGTGCAGTAAATAATGCCAGGGGCAACACAAGGAAACATGAGGATAAAAAGAAATACTGAATGGCTCCCAAGTCAGTGAGCACCATCTATGTGTACTCTGGATGGAGCAGGGGTCCGGTGTGAAATATAGCATGTGATGATGCAATTAAAACCTGTACCGTGATGCCCAAGAGAGCTGAATGAAGGTTACAAAGGTTTAAATATAGAATTGCTGCACTGGTGAGTGCTTGACTTTGCAATCTTAATGTCCTTTTTGGGTAGGTTTCTGGGTGTGATGTTACATGGAGCACACTGTGACCTGCTGCTTTGGCTGTTTCTGTTAACAGCTCAGGGAGGTAAACTCAGGCCTGTTTCTGCACCAGATGCTCTGGTCTGCCCCAGATTTGGGGAGAAGTCAACAAATTCCTGCAAAATGTTTAGATTCTGCATCTTCCAAAGGGAAATGTTCTGTCTGGCATTCCCAGTTCTCACCAGCTCCCCCGTCCAACCCCTTCCCCATACACCAGCTGTTACCACCCCCTTCCACAGCTTCCTCTCCATCCCCTCCCCACGCACCACCTTTAACTGCCCCCAGCTCCTCCTCCATCCCTGTCTAGGGTGACCAGATGTCCTGTTTTTAAAGGAACAATCCCGTATTTAAGCTCTCCTGCAGGTGTCCTGACTTTCTTAAAAGCGGGCAAATTGTCCCATATTTTCTGTCTCCCCCACATCAATACTGGTGGGTCCTGCTGCTGGCCAGATCCCTGCTCATCATCTGGTCACCCACCAGAGTGAGTGGGGGGTCCAGTGGCTGACAATGGGGGTGGGTGTGCAAGGCTGGTGACGGGGTGAAGCTGCAGTGCACGGGGCCGGCCGCTCCCCCTGCTGGTCCAGGAGCAGCGTGGGGCCACGACATGCAGGCAGCCTGCCTGAGCCCTGCTGCGGTGCTGGACTTTTAGAGACCTGGAGATTGCGATCGACTGGCAGAGGCTCCAGGATCGACCAGACGATTGCGATTGACAGGTTGGTACCACTGAATTGTATTTAATTATGGATTTATTTTTGTGGGGCCCCGCCTTAGCCCGAGGCACTGGGCTGCAGCTAGGGTGACCAGGTGTCCCGATTTTATAGGGACAGTCCCAATTTTGGGGTCTTTTTCTTACATAGGTTCCTATTACCCCCCACCCTCTGTCCCGATTTTTCACATTTGCCGTCTGGTCACCTTAGCTGCTGCCTCTAGAGCCCCTGTGTTAATCTGGCCCTGCCAGCCGGGTGAAAATGAGGGAGGGCGGGAGAGCGAGTGATGATGGAGGGAGGGGGAATGGAGTGATGGGGGCGTGGCCTCAGAAAAGGGGCGGGGCAGAGGTGTTCAATTTTCTGCAAATATAAAAAGTTGGCAACCCTAACCACCAGTCTTTAGCCCCCGTCCCCCCACTACGCTCTGCTATGGCCTGCGTCCGCAGTGGCTCCAACCGGCCTTTGCGGATTCGGCCTCCCAGGAGCAGGGGGCGAGCCAGGCAACGGGGCCGCTATGCGCATGCGCCTGGGCTCGGGCAGTAGACGTGGCCTCCCAGCAGCAGGGGGCGGAACACAGTTTATCCCTTCCTGATAGCGTCTGTGATTGACAACACAAGTTACCGGAAGCACCGAGTCTCCGCTTCCGGCGTCGGTGAAGCGCATAGACTGCGCCTCTCCCTGAGCAATAGGGAGCGTGTGTGGTGACGCCATCAGAGCGCGCCTCTTGCGGTGTGTCCTGTCCGCGAGAAGGTCGCGTTTCCGGGGCTGGGCGAGTGGCGCTCGGCCGTCGCGGGGCTCGGGATGGCTGGCTACACCCCCGACGAGAAGCTGCGGCTGCAGCAGCTGCGCGCCCTGCGGCGCCGCTGGCTCAAGGACCAGGAGCTGAGTCCGCGCGAGCCCGTCCTGCCCCCGCCGAAACTCGGGCCAGTGGACAGGTTCTGGAAGCGCTTCCTGCAGCCGGGCTCCTTCTGGCGGCTGCAGGTCAGCGAGGCCCGGGTCCCCCAACCCTGCCCTGCTGAGGCGTTCCCACCCCGGGGCAGCCTTGACCACAGGGGTCCCCT